ATATACTTTTTCCTCAAGTTTTCTAAAGCTATCAATCGTTTTTGCACAGGAAGAGAGATGCTATCTAACTTTCAGATCATACTGAGATCAAAAGGAAATGAAAATAAAGTTATATTAAGAATGTCACCGCATGTTATTAGCATTAGTCTTCCATCCCTGGCACTCTTAAGAGGTATTCAGTGGACTTTATAAAGCACAAAAAAACGTAAGTGCTTACTTTGAGGAAGTCATTTCACAATAAGACATTTATAAACTAAACAGGCTGTTGAAGTCAATGAGTTTCCCAAAGACACTGAAACAAGGTCCCTAAACCAAACACGCAGTTGAGCAGTGAAGTTTGAACAGGAGGGGACAGACGGGTCTATGCTGAAATGAAGTAGCTGCTTAGGAGCAGGTAGGGAACAGGTGAAGAGCAGTAAGTGTACTAGATATGAATGCTCCCCACATCCCCTGAAAATGCTACTCAACTTTATATAGCCCATTACAACCTCAGCCTAATCCTTTCTTACATGGCATAGATAACACTAGGGATCATTTAAAAAATCATTTTAAAGCTGCTTACATCCATCACCAGTGATCAGGGAAGTTGTTACACATCTTTCTCAAACACAAACTGAGCCTTCCCATTTGTCTCTATTCTCAAATGTAAACGTGGAAAGAGGAAAGGAGGGAAGACTGACAGCTAGTGGATTGTTATCATGTTTCATTTTGCTCTTGTTTACCCCAAGGCTGCATGTAGCTGCAAACTTCTTGGTGAGGAGACAAGAGAGCTTTTCCCATAGAAAAGCACCTTTGGAAGATGGATAATGACATTCATTTCTACTGCATCCCCTTTAGATGTCCTAGTTCAATTCTGGCTAAATTATCTGCACCCAGCAAATACTCACTAAAAATTCATTAATAGCCAAGTGTATATGTTCTTAGAAAAAACTTGCTGGTTTTTACTTCATCAATTCTTACTGAGGTGTTAACATTTCTCTAACTACCAAGATGGAAAAAAAGAAATGCTCAAGGATATGCAAACATTGATTCTGTATTTTGGTTAAGAATAGCCTGCTCGACAGTTTCAGTTACTCTTCTACCTCTTCCCTCCCCACAAATTGGCACTGGATTCCAATCTAAGGATGGCGACAGACCTGGTTACTGTTTTGGCCTAAACTCAGAATCCACTCCCCTTCCTTCTTTTATCTGCCTAGGTTACTGCTAATTAATACAGTGAAGGCCTCCCATTCATGCACTGACCTAGCTTACACAGTTTGCAAGAATTAGAAGAGAATCACATTAGAAAAAGATGGCACAGCTGCTGGCTAAAAGCATCCTCAGAACTGATAGAGGCCTGGCTGGCGTGGCTCAGTGGTTGCGCATTGACCTAGGATCCAGGAGATCACTGTTCGATTCCCTGTCAGGGCAGTGCCCAACGCAGGAGCATATATATCTTCCTGAGGCTTCTTCAATTCCCCCTCTCTTTACTTTCTACTACCCTGCAAGAAAAAACATCGTAAGGGTGCTTGGTGATGTTTCTTAAATCAAAACAGTGTGGCACCTTTCAGCTTGCAGGGTCCTGGACATACCTATATTTGTATGCTTGGTCTCTTATGCTTGTGTAGAATACAGAGTCTCTCACGAAAGGTTTGCTTGGTCAGAATTCATTTTGGCAGCCCTGGGAGAACACAACATGAAACAACCTTATTAATTACTTTTTCCCATCTCATTATTTCTTGGGGTAGCTGGGAACCTGAAGCTAACCTGTCAGTGATAAATCAAATAAACAAATGTAACACTCAAAACATTAACCAGACATAGGCAATAGTAATAAATTAATAATAATAACAATAATAGTTTCCATGGGAGAAAACGGAATGGGCAAAGAATAGAATTAGGAAAACAAAATCTAAGCGAAAAGTCTGAAATAGTCTCATAACAGGTGTTGTCCCAATTCAGTCAGGCAGGATTTGACTATACTTATAACCCAAATTGTGCCTATTCCCATAGGGATAACCCAAAAGCAAAATTCCCAGAGGCAGTAGGTAAAAATGCCTTCCTCTTTTTCTCTTCAAATATGCAAACAATTGTAGGTTTCTTGAAAGAATAATGGGAAAACCTTCACTTTCTTGGAGGAAAAACCAGGTATTCTAGACTGCTGTTCTTCATCCCTCCCCCACCCCCCCAGGGCAGCCTCCCCTCAGAGGAGGCGCCCAGGGCAAGGCATGCCATTATCCTGGGGCTCAGGCGCTTCCCTTCTGAAAGAAGAACGCTTTTTCTTTCCTGGGGTGAAGGAATCACATCTTTAAAACTGGCAAACAGTGCTAGAAACAGAGGTTAGAAGATTGTAGCTATAAATTTCAAGAATTATAGTTACCTTTTATTGAGTACCTACTATGTGTCAAGTATTAAATACCAGGAACACTTCTTATTTTATTTGAGCCTTACAATACTCCTCTGGCAAAGGCATTGTTTTTACCATTTTACAAAGCTGGGAACTTGTTCAAAGAGATAAAGTACCTTGCCCCGGGCCAGTCTCTGCAGAACAAGGGCTCTCATCCAGGAGGCTGTGTTCTGGCTCTTAACCTGGTGCTATTTGGCAAAACCTGAATAAGTACTGTTGAGTCCTTTGTGACACCCACAGCTCCTGTTTCTTAACACTTCATGGGTCCTCATTTTTCTTCATTTCAATTTATTCAAATCTTCTCCTTACATCTACCTTGATATTTCAGACATTCTATTTGCATCGACCATTGTGATCATATAAACTAAAGATTTATTTGCTTTCTGAGATTTTTAAGTACCAATATGTGTTCCAATTCTTAGTCCATATGTATCATCACCCCCGCCTCCCATTAGACTGGTAAATTGTGCGCAAATTTGCTAATTAAGATTTAAACATCTTTGAGTCAAATTAATTAGGAAGGATTTTCATAAGCCACAGTGGTTTAAGCAGTATATCAGTCTAATTTATAGTCTCATTTAAATAAATTATATTAGAATTATAATTAATTTTCACTAATAAAGTGGTAAAGAAATATCATAGTATAGTATGTGTGAGATGGAATTTGTTGTTATATTTTAAAAAGTTATATTTAAAATATTTCACTTTTTATTCTTAGTGTAATCACAGTACTAAGCATTTAGTAGATGCTCAAGAAGTACCAGCTGAAATGACCATCTGTAAGAACTGCTAGATTCAGGTATAACTGGTATTGTAGATTTAGGCATTGTTTTAGGAGGAAAAAGTACATTTAAATCAACATTACTTGTATTTAGCAGAATATCACAGATACCAATTTTCCTTTTTTTCTTCTGTCATGAAATACGCTTTTTCATGGCTTGAGAGGCTTGTAGAAACGCTTTATAGAGATGGCAGAATCACCTGTTCCATTGTCTTTCTCTTTTGTTTGATGTCTTTTCTACTCACTTGATCTAAAACTAAGAGGCATTCCTCCAGAGTTAACACCAAAGATATTTTAATCACTAAGATTATGGACTTTTTATTAAGTCAGTCACTTTAAACACTGTTTGATAGTCATGTATAAGGAGCAGCTTGGTCATTGTCTTTAATGCTGTTATACTGATGAATTAAGGTCATATTGAAACAGAAACAAAAAAATACTTGTATCATTGATTTTCCCTAAAGGGTTAAATTCACATGAGAGACAAAACACTATAATAAGTGGCAGCACGACCTTTCTTATAAAAAGAGAAATGCACTTCAGATATTAATATTCAAGTTTGGCTTATTGTATAACTCTTTCCTAGGCACATTTCAAAACCTATGGAAAGGGACAGCCCTGAGATCGTTGTGCATGAAGGTGAATGTGCTACAATAGACTCAATTAGTACCATTTGTGATTTTAGTTTAGGTGATGCTGGCATCAGTTTATTAAAAATGTAATGAACTATCAAATCATTTTATACAGGTCATTGAACAGCAATAAAGTGGTATCAGCTCTGTTCCATTATGGCTCTGAGCTGGATTTGAACCAGTGACTCTCAAGGAAAAGGTTATGTTTGATTGTCAGTCTATAAAAATGCATTTATAGAGTAGTAGTATATCTATTTATAACATTTTGCCTCTAACTGCATTTTTAAAATAGATACAATCTATAAATTGTCTCTTGAAAAACACAAATTTTAGGTATTATAAAATGATTGCATTATACATTATGTATTTATTTTATATTATAGATTTTATTTATATATTCACAGTTTTATTAAATCTGAGTAAAAGTGGTCACATGTGACATGATATTGAAAGGTCTTTTGCCTGTTAAAGCAGAATGAAAATTAGGTGCAATCAGACATATAGCACAGATTTACTGTCATCATATAATTCTGTAAGTCATAAATCTTTATTCCACCCACTTTAAATATTCTCCTATCTCATGGATTACATCAGCTAAAAGAATATTTACCAAGAGAAATAAGCAGCAATATGTCCTGAATCGCACAATTTTATTTCATTAAAACACTAACATTTACTGAAGTACCCATATACGTACTTTAGGTCACTTCTGATAGTGACACTGTGCAAATAGATGCCAAGTAATATTCCAAACATCTTTCAACTGGGAGATTCTATAACAAATGACCGGTAGTAAAATCTAGGCAGGGGGCAATAGTGACTTCATTGCAAAAACTACTTAAAATTGAAAGAAAAGGAATGTCACATTGTATGTTTGCACATTTCTGCTTATTTAAAATTTTCTATAACCTTGTCAACTACGATAGATATTCTTTTTTGCCCCTTTGCTATAATTTTCAACAGTTTGCCATCAGTTTTTGTTCTTAAATGATGCAGGATTGAAATTCTTCCTTGTATTTTGTAAGCTGGACATGGCCTAATAAATGGCAAGTAATAAATGTCTGCGCCCAGCTTCGCTCTAAGTTTTATCTATTTTGTTTTTACATTGTATCGTTCGATGAAAGCTGTTTTGATTTGTGTCCTTGAGCCTGTTTCATCTGGCAGGCGTGTTAACCGCCGTGTCCTGTGGTCTTCTTTGTAGTCGCAGCGCCGCGTTACGTTTCACCTCCCTGATGGCTCCCAGGAAAGCTGCAGTGACAGTGGTCTGGGGGACCACGAGCCGGTGGGTAGTGGCACCCTGATCTCACACCCTCTTCCTCTGGTTCAGCCACAGGACGAATTCTACGACCAGGCCTCTCCGGACAAGAGGACCGAAGCAGATGGCAACTCTGACCCCAACTCCGGTGAGTCCTGTTCAAACTGCCGCCACTTGGAGTTCCTCTGGTTTCTGATTGTGCACTTGAGCTTTAAACAGTAATTCTGGGAGCAAGTAAATGAACATTCGGTGGTTGTTGTTTGTTTTTTCTGGTTTTATTGTTGTTGTTGTGTTTTTTGAAATATATGGAGTCTAATGTGCGTGGTACATCTTGGTGTTTTGTAGCGGCCTTAGCCTATCAATCGCCAAGGCTGTGGCTGGGCCAGCGCTGCGGTTTTTATTCTGATTGCAAGAAACCCTTCGGCAGTAACCATCAGGAAACTTTGAAAAAATACGGGTTTATTACTTAGGAGACCTGGAAATCACACAGCACGCTTGGAGCCACACAAGGAGAGGTTGTGGAGGGGGAGAGAGGGAGCAGATGATTCTGGAGTCGTGCTTTCATTGGGGTGGATGGTAGGGCCCGAGGGGAAGGGTAATCAAGCAGGTAGCCCAAATGGTCAGTTATTGAAATCAACCAAGCTCTTGAAAAACAAAGAAGCCTCAATTGGCAGGGAGTGGGAGAGCTGGCCCTTTATTTAGTCATGTGGCAACAATGTGTTTATTGGAGACAGACATCTTTGAAGTGGATGCCCCAGAAATCAAAGCTTAAGTCAGGCACTCATATTGCAGGAAAAAAAAAAAAAATTAAAAAGCCAGGGCTTACCTAAAATTGGCTGTTATTGTATGTTGCACCTTTATTTTGTAAACTACTAAAGAATAAAAAATGCTATAAATATAATTTCAAAAAGTCATTTTTTGACAGACAGCTTGATGTCAAAGATGTTAAACGCAATGCTTAATATTTTATTGATAAAATACAGTTCATCAGAACACAATCAATGAATAAGAAAAAAATGGTTCTGTGGAATGCTGTTTTCCAATGAAAACTTTTTTAAAAAAATGATACAACAGTGATTTAAAACAACTGAGAAATGTGGTGGTAATGATTTTTCGGGTTTACTTCTTTTTTCTATTTCAATTTTGGATGATTTGTTTTTAACTAGTACATTGAACTAGTGGAATGAGTGGAATGTTCGTGGCAGAACCTTTGTTCTCCACAGACACACACCCCGTCTGTGAAATCATTGCCCATTCAAAGGAAGCCCTATGAGGGCTCTTGGCCTTTGGAGGAAATTTTGGATGAGTGTGATACAAGTTTTAGTCATGTTATTATAAAAAAAAAATGTCACTGACTTGTTAACTTTTATTAAAAAATTAAAAGTGCAATTGAATAATTATTATGGCAATTCTGTGCTTTCAGTAGAAATACTAAGAGGAGGTAAAAACTACAAAAGCGTTTTCTTAACTCGTCCTGCTGTGATAATCCAGCAATAGTGTTCTCTGACTTCCAGGATTTTTAAACTGACTCTGTATCATTTGTAGAAATACCCCTTTCCAGGCTGTGCCCCCGTCTCTGCAGGTTTCTCTGATATGTGGTTCTCTTCTCATTGGCATGTGGAGTTATTTTAGCATCTTCTTTCTGCTGAGGTTCTTCCCTACCCTAGCCAATGTTTGAGGAAAATCTAAGTGAATTCCATACCAGGTCTGGTTCTCAACCTTTCACATCCTGTATCTTGGTCTCATAAAGAAAACAAAAGTGCATCTTTTGACTTCACATATCCAGGAAAACAGGCCATACTCAAAGAGGGAACATCTAATCACACAGCATTTGAGAGTGCTGGCCAGCTATTCCCCTAAGATTTCTTGGTTTTGATTAGTCTAAGCACCATTAAATCTAAGTGGTTTATTGAATTGACCTTTGCTGGGCTTGTGTGAAGAGGTCAGAAAGGTAAGACAGTTCTTTCTAAACTGATTTTCCAGTCTCCAGCTTCCCCCTCCCCAATTTTAAAACATCTCTTGTTGGCATTAAGCTAAGGATCTCAAAACCGGTTTCTGACTACCCCTTCTCAAGGAGAAGTAGTTGGCTCCTCTTGCTTTTGGGCTTCAGCCAAAACACAGATAGGGAGACACCATTTTAAACGTAAGTCTGATTAACTTAAGCTTCCCTAAGCCAGAACTTTATCCAATGTGTACAGCTACTCACCCAATGACTTGGACCTGGGCAATAGTGCTCGGCGAGCTTCCAAATGGGAGAAGATAGAAGAGATGCTAAAGCCAAAAAAAATCCCTTTAAAACCTGCTTCAGGAAGTCCCCAGAGTTTTTTACCAACCTAGTCCCATGGAAAAAGAGACCCAAGGGCTGAAACACCCTGCACACTCCCACATTCACCTCGACGCAGTGACTTCACCCAGGAGAATCACGGGCAATAAAATGTGTTAAACCAGAGCAATGCCCCTTGGTAGAGAAAAGGAAAGGAGGAGCCCTCAGGACCCCTGGAGACTAACAGATTTTTGACACTTAATGGGACTTAAAATTTTAGCTTCCTTTATAAATGTCTAGAACAGAATTAATTAAATAGCCTAGGTATATTAAGAGATTCATAACTAAATGGTAATTCATATTAGGATATTATTATGATATATTACCTTAAAATTCTTCATTCACATTTTGTAATTAACTCTGAGAAATTTGTGAAGTGAGGTACAGCATAATTGAAGCAATAATCTCCAATAGTAATAGTCTTGCTATTTAGATTTAAACTGTTTTCTTTGTCTTTAGTGGAGTTTTCTGCCTGTGGTCTGATAATTCTTGAAGAGCCATGATTTGATAGCAATCACCCTATCTACGTATAAATCACAGATCTATATTATCTGTAGAGTTATTAGGTATTGCACCTGTAAGGTTCCTATTTTTTTTCAAATATATCGATTCTCAAAAATTATCAGAGTAAATCACATTTTCTTAAGAAGTGAACTCATTAACATGACCATGCACTCCATGTAAAATTCAATGTAACCATTAATTCTGAGAAAGTAGTAATGGGTTTTCAATTGATGATGGTTATTTTTAACAAATATAACTAGATTGATTAAAAAATTTTACCAAATAAAAGCAAATAAAAACTATTATATGATCAGATAATAAATATCACTATTATTACCACTAATTCAGAATTAACTATTAATCTTGTCCCATTGAGAATCAGGAATAGGGTCATTTTTATATCTGGTATTTCTTTTAAATGCTTAAAGTATTATCTGCTGTTTAATAATGTGCAAAATTTCAGATTTATTTACTTTTTTAAAGCCCTGTCTGCCATATGCTTCTGACTCTTCCTGGGCTGTGTGTGAATCGCTTGGTAAAGTTTTCAAACCTGAGGATATTCATGAGTAATATTTGAGGTCTGCGTATGGGTCAGGAACGCTAGTAAATGTTTAAATATATTGTTTATGATCTCACGCCAACATTGTAAGTTAGTATTACAAATAAACTGAATTTCAGAAAATGTATTTATCTCAAGCGACTTACCAAGTGCCTGGGCAGACTGAATGCCGGGGTGCCTGCATCCACAGCTTTTGCTCTTACTGTTCAGAGAAACTACCTTCGGTGTACATGTGTTTAGGGCAGGGTGTAGCTCAGTGCAACCATCTGTGCCACTGAGTTTTACATTCTGTGGCACTAATCTTATTTTTAAGAGGAAATTTGAGCAACTGAATATTAAAAAGATTTATAAGATCTTTTGAAAAAATATTAAAAAGATTTATAAGTTGGTTGAACATCTGCTAGTAAGATGAACCAGTTAAAGAACTAGTTCTGCTGGTATTTCTGGCATTGGGCTAACGAAAATTTAGACTTTAGTAGAATTATCTTACGCAGAGGCAAAAAGGGAAGTGCTTTGCATATAGTTACATAGTTTGTGAGTCAAGAATAAAGCTCGTACATGCTGATTTTTATTTAGAGCTCTTTTCAGTGGAACACTTTGTCCTAACCGTGTGTCTTATACCTTTTCTTCCTAGAAAATCTTTATGATTATCTGATTGACAATTGTCTCTCCCACTAATCTGAAGACTATTTGCTCACCTTCTATTCTTCATGCGTGACTGTACCTGGCATGTAGTAGCTCAGAAATGTATTTATTTGTTGACTAAATAAATAAATCAATATTTCACAAAAACAAGGAAATGCAATCAGACAAATTAAACATGTTTTATCAAAATAAAAACAAAATGAACAAGAACTGGAAAGTAATGCATCACATTAACTGTGGTTATCTTCAGGTTGGAGTATTGATTTATTTTTCACTATCTGTATTTTCCAAAATTTTAATAATGTATTTAAAATCATATTTTTACTTGTAATGATGTAACATACATGGAAAGCACCTGACACAGAGCAGAGAAAAAATTATTCTTTATATATTTGCCTCAAGTAAAAAGTACATTAAAGATTAAAGATTAATCCTGTCATTCCTAAAGACACAAGACATATGCTGAGAAAATCTGAGAATTTAAAATATTTGGGCATGAGAGACAAGCTTTCATTTTGGGGTGAAAAACAAAGTTAGTGAAATTTTAAAAGATTCGGGAAAAAATATAATTACCCTATTAAATTCCAATCCTAAGAAATGTGCTAATCTTAGCTTGCAGGAAAAAAGTCACTAACCATAACATAGTGAGAATAAAACACGAATTTGATTTTGGGGGCACAGTATTATATTAAATAATTTTTGTGAACTGTGTTTATAATTTTTATAAGTATCCTGGGTTGAGCTAATTATGTAAATCCAAATAAAAATGTTCAGTGGTTTTATATCGTTACCTGTTGTGTTCCCTGGGAATTTTGTAATCAATTCAGGGTGATCTTGCAGTGGTGGCCCTGAGTTAACAAATCTAGAGTTACTCAGAGAGTGGTATAGAGAAAAGGCATTCGATCCTACTGTGATTTGAGTTTAAGAGGAAAAAAATTTCAAAACTCAGCAATAAGAAACCAGACACATAACTTAATTATAACCTGACCTTGTGAGATGTTAATTTTTTGCTTTATTAAAAATATTTTTCTAAATCTAATCTTGAAACTTATATATTGTTAACTATTTGTACCTCAAAATTAGAGAGGACAATACATTTTCTAGATTGAAAACATCT